GAGACTGGAACTGTTCGTAGATCTCATGCCATTTTAGATAATGTAAGGTATGTCCGCTCATTTAATTTTCACCATCATAAAATATCTAAATTATCCACTTCATCTTCAGGTATTAAACTATAATGATCAAATTGATAATATCTTTCTAATTCAGCAGGTGTGGTATTTTGATTTGTAGTTGAAGTTGTAAATAAAGAACCAAGAACGTTACGTTTCTTAGCTATTATGGAGAAAAAAAGATTTGTCTTTAGAAGTGGTACTAGAATTTGTAGAAGAAGAAATATTTTCATTGTTACCATATTTAATAAAATAGATGTTATACATTTCATTAATAAAAATATCCAATTGTCGATTTGTAATATTTATGTTAAAAGCTAATGTTTCAGAAAGTGATTCTAAAACACAATGAACTCCAAACAACGTAATGCGAGGATCCATTACAGCTTCCACTGGAAAAAAATAGTGGCATGTTTTTAAAATATTTTTTAAACTTTTCCGCCATTGAGTGAATAATTTGAAAGAAAAATGGATCGTCTCTAAATGATGAAAATTGTCCAGCAATTTCTACTAATTGTAAAACTACAAGATTACTAGTTGAATAATAAACTTCAAAACTAACGTTTATTACCTTATAGAAATGTTTCAAAATTTTCATAACTTTAAATGCTTTTTCTCAATTAGAATCAGTTATATAAAATTGATTTTCCTTTGAATTAACAAATGCATTAATAATATTAGTATAGCCAACACATGATTTTGAATCTAGACGGCTCTCTCTCCCCCTTTTTTCAATTAATTTTCACGGGCCAGTGGGTTAACAGTGGCCCGTGAAGGTGCAAATCGCGAAGCCCGCGCTGGTCACACCTCCTTAATCCGTGAACGGCCCACTCGGATCACGAGTTGGCAAACGGTCCCGGGTCGATCCAGGTCGATTTTCATGGGTTTGACCGGCCCATCCGTCTTGACACCTTTACATTGGGGCTTGTTTGGAAGATCAAGAATGGTGTTTATGTGGAGATGTCTTGAATTTCTTGTGATAGAATTTGTTTCATGGTAAAGATTTGCTGTGGTGTGATCCAAATTACATGTTATTTGAGTTTGGTAAATAAAAGAAGTCTAAGGAATTTGAGTTTTTAAGAGTCCAAATTAATGAAGATCAAATTTCATCAAAGATTGAGAGTTTGACTTGGAAAATGACTTCTTCTTCGTCTAAAACTCCAATAAAGAAATTTATATATATATTCCACAGTGTATCTTCACACGTGATTATTCAACAACATCTTGAGAGTTGGAGAGTTGATTTCAATTGAGAAAATTGAGATCTTGATATTGTAAACACAATTACTATTGATTTTAGTTGATTATTCTCCCATGCCCGTGGTTTTCTTCCCATATTGGGTTTTTAAGTAAATTTTGGTGTTTATTTCATTATCGTCATTATCTTGCAATCTAAAATTCATAACACAGATTTTAGGTGGAACTTTGCCTTAAAATAATTATGTGCTTAGGTAATAAAGTGAAAGGGAAAGGCGTAGAATTATAATGGGGGGAATTTTCTGATTTGTAGATTGTGGATTGTGTATATGATTTGAGATAAATGATAAATTGGGGTTAGAAATTGAAAATTAAATCTTGATGATAGTTTAAAATTAAGTTTAATTTACGTTTAATTCTCATACATAAACAAAAGTCACAAGCTAGTTATATTTTCATATGTATATGGTTTTTACATTTTAATGCATTTACATATAGATTGAAGAATTTATAATATTATCTAATTAATTATTAATAGACGATCTCGTTATTACGATCATTGCCATTCAGTGATCAACGACATTTCTGATCGACCAACAATTCTGTATCGGCCACTGTCAACAAGGCAGCATGAGGCCACATTCATGNTTCCACTGAATTTTTATCAATCCAGGTTTTTGACGATGCAAACATTATTTAATGAATCGTTCTAAGGAGGGGGTATTGTAGATTATATACTAATTAAGTGAATGACTCTATTCCTGCAACCCTTGTATGTTTGCAGCCACAATAATTCTTATAATTCTCAATAAAATACATATTCATCTATTAATTCTAAGCCTATGTTAGACAATAATTATTTCGAAACTCTTTAATTTTTATACTCATTTTCAGGCACACATTTAAAAAATAAAATATTTTGTAAGTAAATCCAAATTCAAAACTTATCTCGACTTTTTAAACAGCTTTCTTCAAAAAATCATTATTTAAAAACTCAATTTTTTTTTTTTGAGAATAGTGGTTATTAAACTGGGGAGAAATCGACTATTTTACTAAATTTTCGTACTTCTCTCTCCATAAAAAGTGTCAAGACACGAATGCCCCTTTTATGTACATGATGAAAAGAGCACCAATGGAACAAGTCCAGTGCAAGATCCACGTGTAAGGAAAAGAATGTAATGAAAAGGCAAAGAACCCGCTCTTCTCTTCTCTTTTTGAGAGTTATGCGCTTGTTGCTTGACCCTTGGTTCTCTCTCTCTCCCACAACACGCACATTTCCACTTTCTTCATTCCCATTATTATTATCATTATTCATTCTCCTCTTTCTTTTCCCCTCCAAATTCTATCCATCTATTGCATTTATGCCTGCGGATCGAATTGAAGGTGTACATTTTCTCCGATCCGTGTACATTTTAATTTTACTAATGTTCTGCTTTAGATTTATAATGACGAATTTTTCAGGTTCAATGGGTCACTGTTGATCCTCGTTCCTCGCAACCCCACTATGACCAACCGGAATGTAGACTCTTCTCTGGTAAGTTTTGATAATTGATTCACGATGATCGTAATAATTATACATTTTTGGACTTAATTTGTGTTTATGTTAGTTAATTTCTGTTTTTTATTTACTAGAATCCGATTGTTGTGTTTCAGGGGGAAGGTGGTGGAAATGTGCCGTCTCCACCTTCCGGGCAGCCAGGCCCTACCGTTCATGGAGGCAATAAGGTACTTTGTATTCAATGAGCCCATAAACAAATTATGACTTCCATTTTTGAAGGCTGTGGTTTCTGGGGCTTGAATGTTTTACTATAATTGCTTCAGCGTGCGTGCAGATATTATCAATAATAACTTGGATAATATTAGAGAATGTAGTGTGCAATATTTTTAAGGTTGGAAAAGCGCAAAATTAAATTCGCACAGTTTGACCTGTGTTTGAATGTAAAGTATGAATACGTTTGAATGTGAACTATGAAATCATGTTAACTTGGGAACAAGTAAGGTTCACGTGTGGCATCTAACTACCCTAAGGAAATATTCTTCCTTCTCTGGCTTGGGGTTGTCTGTTTATATTGTGACTGTTTAAATTGAGTGAAACTAATGTGAGAATGTTGAGATTTTTCGGTGGTACAGAAAACATGGATACTAAGAGCAAAAACATATCCTTGAATTGGTTCACTGGTGCACATTGAGAATTGTAGGAGAATCAATTTGAATTGGCTTGGCCATATTCAAAGCATGACACTTGACCAATTAGGAACAGTGATGAGACTAGTATTAATGGTAAATGTAGACAAATGGTTCACCAAAAATCAAATGAAAGTTAACCAAAAGTATTAGAGTGGAAGAGGAAAATCCATATAGTAGACCAAATAACTTTCACACGAGGCTTAGTTGAATTGAATTGAAACCTGTGATTTTATTGTCTTGTTTTTGTTTGGCTAAACTTTATTAAGATCCTAGCACTTAATATAATTGACACCAAATAATTGGGGTAAAAATAATTTAATTGAATTTAGTTTTGGATAATAGAATAGAGATTTGAGCTTAGACAACAAAAAACTGTAACTTGATCTGGAAAATGTTGTAACTATGATTTTTGTCTTATGCATGGTTAACACTGTATGTTTTTCAAGACTAAGTTTACTACTCTGCATATAAATTTAAATTAGAGAAAGTAGTGCTGAATTTGCAGGTGTATAAATGTTACATAAAGAATCAATAGAATTTTTTTGGACCTTGCATAGAAAGATTATTCAATAATATAATCTACATCGACGTGCAGGTATATAAGAGCGGCCCTCTGTTTTTATCATCGAAAGGTTTGTTTTTCCGCTTCATCTGGTTGTTTATTTTCTGAAATAGGAATACAAAAGGAATACTGTTAACACGTCTTTCCTTTCCGTCATACATGTCTCTTGCTTGTTGAACTATTAGCCACTTGATACTTTTTTCTATAGAATGAATTGTCAAATCCTTCAAGCCATTGTGCTGGAATTCTAAGATGAATGAAAGTTCTCTCCTCCTACTCTAAGATTTGAACTGCTTCATTTCTTCTTTTTGTTTTTAAATTCAAGCGATATGATCTTTCTTTCCTTTATAGATGAGTTGTAAATATGTTATAATTTTCTTTTGACAAAATAACAGTATTATAGAAGAATTATGGCACATTGTAAAAGAAAAGGAAGGACACGCTTTTCAGTATAAACAAATTCTTAAAAGAGAAGGGAGCAAACTAAAAATTTCGATTGAAAATATACATGAAAAGTGGAGCATTATTCTAAAGATAGTAAAGAATTTTGAGGGTCTACTCATGGTCTACAATAAGCCAAGTGTGGAAGGAAACACTGTACTGTTATCCATTCTATTTAGTTTACATTCAAGCTATAAGTACATGAATATCAATAGTGGCAGGATCTGTTCCATATATAAGTCTTCAGACTCACTTCACTGCATCTTCAATATTTATTATGTAGGTTATATTTCTATTTATTTCCCAGCTGTATTCTACAATATTTGTTCCTTGTGGTGGTTTGGAGCGCCTACATGTTCTTCTTGAAAGATCTATTGATGGCCTCTATTAAGTACAAGTATGGAAAGAACTACCATATGTTTTGTCTATTATTTGCAGTTTCGAGCAAGCGGAATTTCAGTAGTTGAAAATATTTTCTTTTTAATTATTCTATAGCCATATTTCCCCCTATGTGCAATGGTCAGTATAGAGGTCATGTATCTTTATATTTCCTAACTCTTTTATACTCTTTGTTCCTTTCAGTGAATTGCATAATTGCATTCTTAGGATCCCAAACATTCTTAGGATGCCTAAACATTCTTAGTATGGACATGCCTACACTTGCATGAAGACAACAATTTTTCTTTAATATGATTAAGTGTAGAAATTAGAAAATAATTGGACAGGCTGGGCTATTTTGAGAGTGTGTTTGGGACACATTTTTTTGAAAGAATGTATTATTGAATAGTAGATTGATGGAGAATGTGTGGTTAAAAATGAAGGAAAAGTTATTGATGTGATGGAAAATATTCTTTTATTGAAGAATGTGTGGTTGAAAATGAGTAGAAGAATGAGAATGAAAAAAATAATGTGTACCAAACAGGGCCTGAATTTTATTTTTCCCTCTTTACTATTAGATTTTGCATAAAGTTGAACCTCATTTTGTTCTTATGTACTTTTAGAATGTGAGGGACACATTCTTTTGAAAGAATGTATTATTGATTAGTAGATTGATGGATAATGTGTGGTTAAAAATGAAGGAAAAGTTATTGATGTGATGGAAAATATTCTTTTATTGAAGAATGTGTGGTTGAAAATGAGTAGAAGAATGAGAATGAAAAAAATAATGTGTACCAAACAGGGCCTGAATTTTATTTTTCCCTCTTTACTATTAGATTTTGCATAAAGTTGATATTTTGTTTGTTACATTTTGTTTTCTTAAATGCTTTGTATGCTTAGTTTATCTAGTACATACAAATATATTCTAGCATCGATATCTTGTCCTATATTTTCAAGAATTTCCACATCTTATATACACATCCTTGTGTTGTCTTTGACACTATTGGATTTCCTTATTTCACTTGTCATCTGACTTGAGATATATCCATGATAGCCAGGTGTATCTATTTCAGTAAGATTTTTATTAGGTTTTTTGTCTATTGTAAAAGTAGTTTCCGAATTTCAAGCCTCGATGTTTTACAGCTACCCTGATATCAACTTCCCTAGGGATGCTGCAGAAGGCCTTTACTGACAAGAAAAAAGGATAATGGGTTCTTCCATTTATATGCAAATGGTTTCTGTAATATGTTCACAGAGTTATGTGTTCTGCGTCTTGCTTTCTGTGTTACAGTTGCACCCTGTATCACCCATGTTTTTGCATGGTTCTTCCTTTACACACTCAGAATCTACTCTTGCATATTAAAATTTAGAACAAGAATTTTTTCTGGCTGGACCTGAAAGTTCAACATGATTGAATTATCTTTCAGAAAATCTAGGGCATCTGTACATTTCATATTGTCTGTGATGTTATGTTTCATTGACTGATCAATCATTTTTTTAAAAAAAAATTCAGTATCATTTAGTGTTTCTCAAGTTTTTACCTGTGTGCAGGAATCGGATGGACATCATGGAAGAAAAGGTGGTTTATATTAACACGTACCTCGTTGGTCTTCTTTAGAAGTGATCCAGTAAGCTGCATTTTTAAATCTTTTGAAAAACTTCTTAGATCCTAATTTCAGCTATTTTTAGGAGATTATTACGAAATTTGCCAACATAGAGCCGTTCATATTCCTTTTGTTGCTACTGTTTAAAAATGCACTGTGAGGTGCAATTTTGTATAGATTGTTTTATTTGTAGCTTATATGACCTGTACGAGAGTTGACATTAGATTGTCGGATGGTCATGTTATTGAATACCTTGTATGCTTGAATAGATACTCAATGCGATCCCTCATGGATGAAGTATGCAACCAATACTGCTAAAATGTGTAGTTAGTTGAATATGCTGCATTTTATTTTACAAATGTGATATAGCTTAGTCATAGTTCTACTACTAGTAATCGAAATGTGTCAATTATTTTGTAGAAGCTATAACTCTCTCTCTCTTTTTATTGAATTGATATAATTTGCGGGAACATTTCTGCTTTTCCTCTAATAAGCCATAGCTAATAGTGTTGTTACACATTTTAATGAAACGAACATGAAGCTTCATGGCAATCCTGAAAGTAGTTCAAAATGGGGCCAACTGGTTTAAATATCTTATGTTCATAAATTCTGGTTTACATTTTGAGTTTATGCTCAGATATGAATGTGAATTGTTTTCCCTGCTCTAGCAACACTTAATTCTCTTACCGATACGTCTTTTCGGTTTTGGAAGAGCTTTATAACATGTATGCTTCTTTTCATTGTATTAATTCATTTTCCCATTCTTCTTTGTTTTCTTTAACTTTTTTCAGAGTGCTGTTCCGCAAAAGGGGAGCGAAGTAAATTTAACCCTTGGTGGTATTGATCTCAACAGTTCTGGAAGGTTGGTTTCAATTTGTATACTTCTCACAGGTTTTAGTGTTTTCATTTGTGCATCGATTTGGCTGCCTGGCCACATTCCTACCACAGTAAATTTTCTGAATGTAAGGCTTGTCTTGTTGACTTTTTAATCCACTTCCAGTGTGGTAGTCAAAGAAGACAAGAAACTCTTGACCGTGCTCTTTCCTGATGGTCGTGATGGAAGAGCTTTCACACTCAAGGTGCAACTCTAGTGAGATTTTCTTGCGAGATTAAAGCTTTTAATTTTAGAGATCGTTGTGGTCTTGGCTTCTCTTTATGTTTTCTGATGTTTAACTTTATCAAATAATTCTCTTGCAAATTTTATCTCATTTCAATCTGCGTGTTTCCTGTTCCATTAAGCTATTGCCCAGTTTTATTTTACATGCGATGTTCTTGTTGAAGAGAAACTTATTTTACTTGAGACCTTTGTCCATCAATTTGTCCGTGAGAAAGAAGACGTAATTTGCACAAAGCCATTTCTTCCATCAATGTTTCAATCTTTCTGAGAGAATGGATCGGGGATCTGGGACATCAGTTGGCTGTGAGCTTAACAGAACATCTATGATTGTGAGAGAACATTTTTAAATTGGCATTGTTAATGTGAAGAAAGTTTAATATCATAGTCAAAAGATTGGATTTGTTCATTTATTTGCTTATTCCAACTATCTAACATATATTGAGACTTTACATAATAAATTAAACTGAATGACACAACAGAAATGTATGAAATATAGGCAGAGTGTTTTGGGTTCTTCTTTTGTTCTCTTTGTCATAATGTTCGTGAAGATAGACTGTAAACTAGTTTTATTGGGAGTTAGTGTAAAGTGTAAACTGGCCCAACCTAGCTTTTCTTTGGAAGTAAATCTAAAAGGCATCCAATTTCTTGGCCAAATACACAAACATTTGTTATCCAATGGGAGATTTCTGAACATGCATGTTATGACACGAGCAGATAAAGTATTTAAATTATTTGAAGAAAACAGTAAGAGATACTTGCCTTTTCAATTGATGTCTCTTTAGTGGCACACATAACACTGGAAAGCTAGGTAACTTTGGGTGAAGAAATTGGGAAGCTGAGTTAGCATTGAGCTTTTTACATTAAGTTGATCCATCAGAGCCATAAAAACTGAGCAGAGAGATAGAGTTAAATAATTGTTATGGCACTGGAGAAAGACAGATTTCTCTGTCAACCTACTTTTATTTTGTATGGTTGTCATCATCCTCGTCCTCACGTCACTGTCCTGCCGGATAAAGCTAGGTCTCTTGCTGTTGTTATGTGTTGAGATTTGTTTACCACAGGCAGAAACACTGGAGGATTTACAAGAGTGGAAGGCTGCACTTGAGGAAGCCCTGTCAAATGCACCTAGTGCTGCTCTTGTTATGGGGCAAAATGGTATATTCAGGAACGATCAGTCCAATGCAGCTGATGCTTCTTTAGAACAGGGTAAGGTTTGCTTCTAATTTCTTCATGTATGAAGTATCAGTATACTTCTATCACAGCTCTGAAATTCAAGTACTTGGTGGCTATCTTATGTAATCTACATGCTGATGTTGTAGTTCGAATAACTTCCGAATCTACTTTGGATGACAACGGGACACAATTTCCACGTTTGCTTTTGCTGTTTTTATGTTTTGGGTCCTTTATTTCTTAGCAAGCTTAAAATTTATGGACTTAGGAGTGTGATAATGCCAAAATTTGATTTTGCTCTAGCTTATGCAATGCCAGAGTCCTCTGGTATGAGTAAGCTTGTTTGGTTGAACAAGTGAAAATTATGCATAGTTACAGAGTGCCCTGTTAACTGTGTGCCAGTGTAACATTTAACTGATATGGTAGTTATGAGAAGTTATGAAATTACTTCATGTCTTGGAATTGCAGTCATGTTTCCTTCTTTTATCTTCACATTTTATTTGGGAGTTTGTTCTGTTCCATTTCTATTTGTTGTCTTTGTCTCGAAACTAATTTCAATTCATCCTGGTCTTATATTACAGTGAAAGATAGACAACCAGTGAAATCCTTGGTCATTGGCCGACCAATTTTACTTGCTTTGGAAGATATAGATGGAACTCCATCCTTTTTGGAGAAAGCTCTTAGGTTTGTTGAAGCCCATGGTGAGCTTCTGGTTCTATTTCATTTAAGGACGACACTAGTGATTAACATTTATTACTATATTTTAGAGTAGTACTTTTTGTTATCACTGGTACTAAGCACAAGTCTAGGTGGCAACACATGATAGATCAAATTAAATGAATCTCATAATACATTTAATTAGACTTATAATTTAGTGCCACCTACGGGCCACATAGACTGGTGCTAAATATCATTATTTTAGATTGTATCATGTCAAGATGCTTATTCTTAATGTGCTTCTTATATGCACCCTTCCTCATGTTGAAAGAAGTTGTAAATTTATTAAGGGATATGGCCTATCATTGAAAACACAAAACTTTATCTTGTATATAATCTGATGCTACATTAGGTTTCAAGAATGTGGGAGGGTGCTATAGTGAAAAAGTTTATCACAATTACATATAACAGGGCATTACTCTAAACCAATTTTCAATCTGTAATATTGGATCGGTCATGATTGTTATTGGAATCTCCTTAGTTAATTTTTTCCCCTCTTGAGATGTTTTTATAATGAGACCATGAAGCTTTTATTGAATGTATACCATGTAAGATGATTCGGAATATATGTGATAGCATTTCTACTTCAAATTTTTATTTCGTTGTACAATCTGACATCTAAAAATCATAGTTTCTTTCTGATTTATTATACGACTTAATTTTTTCTTAGACATTACAGTGATGGTGCAATAGAGGAGGGATAGCACATGAAAGGAAAAAATAACTACAAACACCAAGGTCATCTAATAACAAAATATTCACTTAGCCTTTATAATGGAGTATGCTTTAACCTCCCATGTATTATAATCAAAAAATTAAACATCATAATATCCCCTCCTTTGAATAAGTTCCCTTCTACTATCTTTTACTTTTCTGTAGCCATAGTTGATAGAGCTTTAAAATCCTATTAAAATATTTAGCCCCCGTTTGGCCCCCATTTTTTCCCATTACATTACATTAATTTTTTTCTCTTCGTTTCAACCACACATTTATCAAATAAAATAATATTACACACAAATCTAAAACTTTTCATTACTTTTCTACCACACATTTTTCCATCAATCACTATTCCAAAAATTTTCAACACCCCGAAATGGAGACCAAACAGGGGCTTAAATTCTAGGTCATTGATGGGCATCTTTAGATGATGATATTTATAGAAGTGGGAAGAATTATAAAACAGACAATTGATTTTCTTCTTCATTAAAGTGAATTTCTAGAATCAATTCATTGAACAAAATAAGAAACATACTGTTTGTCTGTCGGTTTCTTAGTTTTCTCTTTCATTTGTGCATATGCATGGAAAGTCAACAAGCTTGCCCATTTCTATTTTTTATGTAGAAGAAATAGAATATCTCATTGCCGCTTGTCACCTTCTTAAGACCACATGTGATTTTCTTCTAAATGCATGAAGGTGAGGGAAATCAATTCTCCTAACCTCCATTTTATCTAGTTTAATGAAACTTGTTATGAGTTGTCTTTACATATACAACACGTATATATATGGGAGGTAATTATTCTCCTTATTAGAGAGGATTATTTCCTAATGTGAGATATCCTTTGTTTGTATATAACCCGTTTATGAATCAATATATGAAAGAAGTAATTCTCCCAAATCAATTCACATGGTATCAGAACAGTTTCGATCCTAAACAAATTAATCTTTGAATTTCGTTTCCTGCGAGCAGCCTTAAGCCGCTCATCCGGCTACCAATGTTGTTTTTTTTTTTTAAATTTTCTTTTCAGATGTATCCCTTTGGTTTAGTGTATGTCCAGTTCATTTGGAATTTGGTTCAGTTCATTTGGAATTTGGTTTAATATATGTCCAGTTCATCTGGAATTTGATTTGGTGTTGGTTCGGTATATTCGAAATTTGAAATTTGCATCCAGCTTATTTGGTATTTGTCGAGCTGAAATTTGAAATTTGCATCCCTTTGATTTAGTAGTGGATGCGTTGGTTACTTGCAGATATGAGTGTTCCTTCTTCCTCTCCAACCCGTATTGAGATTGACTGTCATCTAATTTTTCCTTCAAGTCTTAGTGATGGTTTGGTTAGATTAGTGGATAATGATTTTTCATTATCAACTTTAAGTTATTTGTTTGGTTTGGTTGACATACAAGCAATTTTGAAGATTTGATTGGATCGATTTATCTTTCAAACTCAATTTGATTGCTGCTACACCATATTGAGTTTGAGGGAGGGTGTTGAAGATATTGAAAGAATAATCTCTATGATATTTTTCCAATAGTGTAAGATTATTTTCCTTAATAGTTGATTGTATAATTATTATGCAATCTTTCCTTTTAGAGTTATTTATAGCCCTATAAATAGGGTCTTTTACTTTGTAATAGAAATAAGTTTGTTATATACAATTTATAATATTCTTCACATGGTATCAGAGCCTAATTCTCTAAATTAGGGTTTGTGAGTATTTTGAAAACTTGTGGGATTGTTCTCGGTGGTGGGAAAGGTTTGGGTCGTAATTTGATGCTGAGATTAAAACTCAATTTCATAAATCTGTATGTATTTTAAGGAGTGACAATGCCAAGGAATATTTCTCATCCACATTCACTTCCTTTCTTTCACAAAATGGCGTTCTTCATCAATCTTCATGTATTGTTACTCCGCAACAAAATGGCGAGGCAGAACGAAAGAATCGTCATTTATTGGAGGTTGCACGAGCTCTCCTTCTTCATATGAACGTTTCAAAAGAATTTTGGGCTGATGCAGTCTCTTGCATGTTACTTAATCAATCGTATGCCTTCATTTGTTTTAGATGTTAAGATCCCTTACTCCATTCTGTTTCCCTCTCAGACTTTATTCTCTCTTGCTCCTCGAATATTTGGATGCACTTGCTTTGTCCAAGATATGGGACCTCAGGTTTCCAAACTTGATCCCAGATCCATTAAGTGTATATTTTTGGGTTATTCTCGACATCAAAAAGGTTATCGATGTTTTTCTCCTTCCTTAGGACGATACTTAGTATCTGCTGATGTCACCTTCTTTGAGTACACACCCTTTTCAAATAATTCTGTGTCTTCTACTCTATCTTCTACTGAGCCTGAGGATGATTTCCTTATTTACGCCGTGACTACACCTATGTTACTAGTATCTGCTCGTCCTTCTATTCGAAATGTTTACACTCGTCGTGTGCAGCAATCTTCGATGGCACTTGCTACTAACCATGGCTTATCGCCCCTACCTGCTGCTTCGCCTCCGGATTCGTCACCCTCTTCTGATCCTAGTCTTGATCTTCCCATTGCCCTCCAAAAAAGGTAAATGGTCATGTACTTATCCTGTCTCTTCTTTCGTTTCTTACCATGCATTGTCGCCTTCTTCCAAGTCCTTCATTGCTTCCTTAGAACAGGTGTCCATGTCGAGATCTACTCCTGCGGCTTTGTCTCACAGTGGCTGGCGAGCGGCTATGCAAGAAGAAATGTTGGCACTGGATCATAATCACACTTGGGATTTGGTTCCTTTACCCCTCAATAAACAGGCATTGGGGTGTAAATGGGTGTTTACAGTCAAGATGATTCCTGATGGATATGTTGATGATATTGTAATTACTGGTAGTGATAGCAGTGGCATAAGTATGCTGAAGACTTTCTTAGGCACAAGGTTTCAGACAAAGGAGTTAGGTCCTTTGAAATATTTCTTAGGGATAGAGATCTCTCGAAGCGATAAATGAATTTTTCTATCTCACAGAAAATATGTTCTAGACTTACTGGATGAAACGGGTTTAGCTGAAGCAAAACCTAGTGATACCCCTATGATATCAAATGTTAAACTTGGAGCACAATATGGAGATATTTTTGTTGATGCAGATAAGTACAGGAGGATAGTGGGAAAGTTGAACTATTTCACAATTACTTGTCCAGATATTGCCTTTCTAGTAAGTGTTATTAGTCAGTTTATGTCATCTCCTAGGACTTCCCATTGGGATGCTGTAACTCATATATTAAAATATCTTAAAGGAGTACCGGGACGTGGGATTCTCTATAGAGACCATGGTCACTGTAGAGTTGAGGGTTTCTCAGATGCTGACCGGGCAGGTTCTCCTGTAGATAGGCGCTCTATTACAGGCTATTGTGTTTTCGTTGAAGGTAATCTAGTCTCTTGGAAAAGTAAGAAACAAAGTGTTGTAGCCCGATCAAGTGCAGAATCTGAATATCGGGCTATGGCATATGTGACTGTGAACTTATGTGGCTACATCACTTACTTGAGGAGATTGGCATTGTTAAGTCTCGCTCTATGAACTTGTGGTGCGATAATCAAGCAGCTATTCACATTGCCACTAATCCGGTATTTCATGAAAGAACAAAGCACATCGAGGCAGACTGTCATTTTGTTCGAGAGAAGCTACAACAAGGATTGATTTTGACTAAACATGTCAAGACAAGGGATCAATTAGCTGATGTGCTCACTAAGGCCTTAGCTGAGAATCGAGTAAACTATATTTGTAACAAGTTGGACATGATTGATATCTATGCTCCAGTTTGAGAGGGAGTGTTATGAGTTGTCTTTACATATACAATACGTGTATATGTGGTAGGTAATTATTCTCCTTATTAGGGAGGATTATTTCCTAATGTGAAATATCATTTGTTTATATATAATCCGTTTATGAATCAATATATGAAGGAAGTAATTCTCCCAAATCAATTAACAAAACTTAAAGATATGAGTTAGATAATAAAACAGATTTCCCCTAAACATGCTGACATCTTTGCATATTATCAATGTCTAAGAACGCGTAATTGGGCGTCGAGGCATTTTTCCTTCATGAGGCTTCATAAGCCTTTAAGGCATAAGCCTCACAGTAAAAAAAAAAAATGCCAAGAAATTATTAAAATGTAAAATAAGCTCATAATACATAATAAAAAATCTTCAAAATTCATAATAAAACAATTTAAAATTTGCAAACATAAAAAAAAAAAAAAAAATCTGTAAAGAAATTATTATATTAGTTGGTAGGGCAGTGGGTTATTCCCAAAGTAAGTCTATGAGTAACACAATTTTTAATATTGTAGTGGGCAGTGGGTTATTCTCAAAATATGTTAGAACTTATAGTTTTGTGGGCTACAAGCCTTAAGGCGGTGCTGCAAGACGTGTATTCACACAACTCAGGCGCCCGCCTCCAAAAACTACTTCACAATCATTGTCTCGAGGCACTTTTTGCTCGTCTCATTATGTGGTGTGCCTTAAGGCGAGTTTCAATTGTATTTTCTAAAACCATGCATATAATATCCTTGGTGTGATGCAATTTTTTCTAAAATTCATTTTAGACTATCAATTTCTTTTCATTTTCTCATCTACGACCCATTGTATAAAAATAATCTTTTTAACTTGCATGAGTTGTGGTTTTTTACTTTATCACAATCACACATGAACTTCATCAATTTTACACTGAGTTTCTTTTGCATTTTCTTGATCCTAATCATCTAGTGTCATTTTCCAGGTGTTAAAGTAGAGGGCATTTTGCGGCAAGCTGCAGATGTTGATGATGTTGAACATCGAATAAGAGATTATGAACAAGGTTGGTTTTCTTTAATGCAGTGACTTGCACGGATGATTTGATGTTTTCTATTTAATAATATATGCAGATACAAGTAGATTTAATTTTGCTTCTTGTCCAAAATACAGCTATATTATTTCAATCATTTTCATGTTTAGTTACTCATAAATCAGAGTTTTAAAATTTTTTGTATTCAAAATAAGGTTATCATGAAAGATGTATTATTGTAAATTATTTATCTGGAAATGAGGAATATCAACATTATTAGACTTCTGCATTGCTTTCAAGATTGTTTGAAGTTCACTTTTGTATATGGGCAATTATTACGTACTCTTCGTCCCATTTAATTTTGTTCTTGGCCCATGTTTTTTCTACTCTGGATTTTACTCTCTCTCTCTCTCTATACACACCTTACGGGTAAATTGATGGATTCCACGGCGAGAAAATTGTAGTGAGAATATGATATCCATACAAAACTGTTTATTTCTCTTCAGCGCAAAGACACCTGATAATAGCGTCTTTCATGTCGGTACATTTCAGCTCCAACTAATATACATAAAGAAATATAATATTTTTCACAATATTTCTCCATCTGATTCAGGGAAAAGTGAGTTTTCTCCTGAGGAGGATCCACATGTGATAGCTGACTGTGTCAAGGTATCTCCTTGCGTCATAAAATTATGGGAAAAATTTGCAATCGTTTCTTCATAATTATATGCACCTTTTTCCTATACCAGTATGTTATTCGGGAGTTACCATCATCACCAGTTCCCGCTTCTTGCTGCAATGCCCTCCTTGAAGCATGTCGTAAGTTTTTTTTAAATCTCAGAGTTGGTTTTTTTTATAATGTTTTTCTTACATTTTAAGTGAAATATTGTGTAGTTGAAGAGAAATAGAAAAGGGAAACCACATTCTTTCAATAAAAAAGTACGTGCATAATTGTGTTGATGGCATAGTGTATTTGTTGGATTAAAAACTCGCTATTCAATGATTGCATGTCAGACTAAAATATCCTTTCATTTAGTTTCAATGCAATAATTTCAGCTTTAATCTCAGAACAAATTTATGGTCATCTTGATTATTATCATAGTAACATTATCACACGTTTCTATTTCATCTGTTTCATATAAAATATATATAGAATTCTCTAGTATTCATTCCACTAGTTAAACTCGTGAATTTTCTTGAAGAAAGCCTCCGTAGTAGGGACACTTCTACTAGGGTAGTATGTCCGTCCGACACGAGTCAGATTTGTCCGATACCGACATTCGTAGACACTCTACCATATTAAATATATTTAACTTAAAATTATTATTAAATAACAAAAAAATACTCATATTTAAAAGTTTTCAATCAGAAAAATTAATAATTAGTATAAAATTAAATTTATGCTATGTAAATTAAGAGTTTTAAATAATTTAATTAACGTGTCGACTGCGTGTAATGTCAATTCTTTTTTGAAAAATCACATGATGACGTGTCCGTGCATCATAGAAGAAAGCACTACGTTAGTTTTCAACGGTCAACGCTATGGATACACCGATGCATTTTTCATGTGCAAAATCAAGAACTACACTGAAATCAGTATCATGGGGAGAAATAAACGTTCTGTATACAGAGTATCCTTCGTGTATCCTGTAGTGCAGGCATACGATAGTCAAGGTTGAAGCTCTTAGAAGCCGCTGAATAAATAATTCCTAGTAAAAAAGTAATTAATATATATATAATTTAGCTCACATGTATTTGGTTCATAAGTCAATACATTTTGTTTTTTATACAATAATTACTGTTTTTTATCCTCATAGCTGACCGTTTTATTAGATTCTTAAGATAACCAACTTTATCATTTTTTTATAAGATCCAAATGAATTAATTGTGGGAGAAAATCAATAAATAAATTTCTGAAACCAGATTGCTGTCAGCCTTGATAATGGGTCTAGCTATCACCTAGATAGTCTCCCTCATCGGCACACTTCAAGTTTCGGGTCCACTAGAGTTACTCGGGTGGGTTGTTTCAGTTTGAGAAAAGAAAAATGAAGGCGAGCCAGCAGTTTTGGTTCTGATTTTTATTCTACTAAATTTGAGAATTAGATAAGATTTCAATGTTCCTTCTTTTAGTCAGTACTCATTCCCTGATATTCAAAGTGGAGGATTTCTTGTTATGGTTAGGAACCGATCGTGGCATGAGAGTTAATGCTATGCGTTCAGCCATATGTGAAACATTTCCGGAGCCAAATCGCCGCTTATTACAGAGGTAATTGTTAATAACTGCATATATTGGCTTCTTTCATTTCATAACTATTCCGAAGTCTAGTTTGGTAACACTTTGCTTGTTGGATATATTCATCTCATTTATTATTTCATCATGTCATCTGCTGGTACTGTTCCAATACTGATGCACTGTGATATGTAGGCATGCATGTGAGTTTATGTATTCCTGTTTATATTCCACTCACCCCATCCTCCTTCTCCCTTTTAGCTAATAGTTTTCTCTGAAACAATCAACAAATGATTTCTTCAGGTTCTGCTTCAGCATAGAGCTTGATTGTTTCTGATGCTTATGTAAAAGCATTTAAAAAGCTTGAAGAGATTAAAGCAATATTTTGAAATAACTAGTGCAAAATTAAATGTGAGCATAATTGGTACTGTCACGATATTTGATTTTCATTTCCAAATGAATTGCATTTTTCATATAACACCTTTTATCTTAACATTGTTTCTCTTGAAGACAATAATTAAATAAATTATATAAACGTGTTCACTATCTAACAATTAAACTTTTAAATCAAATAGTTCAACATGGTCTTAGAGCAAGCAAAAGTCTTAGGTTTAAGTCTCATTGCTGCCCATTTATTAAAATTATACTTGTAAGGCTTTAGTGTGAAAAAAAAGTAATACCGCCTATATATGATAGAGCATGTTGGAGATAATATTTAAATAGTATATATTTGGTCCTATGTAATCGCTTAAGCTCGTAGATCAAGTAGTTAAGCAATTTTCAAACATAGATTTGGACATTTGGTCCACTGAAATGCCCATATATGAAACATGGTTATATTAGTATAATGTGGATGATGAATGAATATATCTTAGGGTCTAATTGGATGCGTGGATGGTGTATTTGTTATTCATTTTGGTATTTTATTTATTTTATTTTTTATGAAGTGCTTCGGGTTCCAAAGTTTCAATTATAAGAACCAAATTATGTGTTCTGGCTGTAAAGGAGTAAGGTACTATCAAGTTGATGTCAGAGGTGCACATCCTTGAGTGGAGCTCGAATGTATATTATCCACTAGGATTTTACCCTGTGACTGGCAATCATGATATGGCATGTTATAAGTTAAATTTAGTATTCTGGCATCAAACATTCATAGATGTGAATGTTATTCTCGAATTATTGCTTCATTTGCTTCAAATAACGCCATACATTCTACTGCTTTTTTGAATTGACAATTAATACATCTGAAATTTTAATTTAATATTTTTGCTTGTCAATGTCAGAATTCTCATGATGATGCAAACGATAGCATCTCACAAGGCTGAGAACCGAATGAGCATATCAGCTGTGGCAGCTTGCATGGCTCCTTTGCTTCTTCGGCCCCTTCTTGCTGGTGATTGTGAGCTTGAAAATGTTTTTGACATGGGAGGTGATGGATCTGTTCAACTTTTGCAGGCAGCTGCAGCAGCTAACCATGCTCAAGCCATTTGTATTACATTACTTGAGGAGTATGATAATATATTTGGGGTATACTCAGTCATTGGCTTTATTTTTTTTTTTTCTAATTATATCTTATTTGCTTCTTATACAGCTGCATGCATGCATGAATTATCTTATGTGGATGTATTAAGTTGAGCAGCAGGTAAAGGTTTATGGTCGCACATCGCATGACTGAACCCTGTGCTTGTTTGGAATTCCCCTTCTTCTTGATTTTATTATTATTATTTATTTATTTATTTTTTCATTCTAGTGTACCTTTGTTGGACATTTTTATTTCAGAAGGCACTGAAATGAGTGGGTTGAAAATACTAGGTTTTCCAATTGCAGGTTCATGTGTGAAGTTCACAATTGAATATAACTACATTCCAGTTTACTGACCTAAAGAAATATATTTTTCATGAAAAGCCATTTTCATTATAATGGAAAAACTCCATATAGTATACAAACTCTACCTTATGTACCGCATATTATATTATTTTATCTCCAGATAGTTGATGTTTGTGGGCCATCAGCTGCTTTTATATCATTGTTTACAAAGTCAAGATGTCTACTATGTCAATCAAGTAGATAAACTGAACTGAACTGAACTGAAATTTCAGAATTCAGAATTCAGTTTTTTTTTTCTTTTGTGTATTCAGACTTCCAAATGCATGTTTTCCTGATACATACGAGTTTCCCTGTGTGCCATGACCGTGTTAAGTAATTTTAAATTGTTTGGAGACATTTTCTTGCTACTCACTTCTACAGTTACTTTGTCCTCTTCATTTGTGATGGCTGGTGAACCAGAAATTCTCTTACTAGTAAACTAAAAACGATCTAGTTGATGGTTTGATATCACCTAGAAAAATGAATATGAGGTGGACATAAACAACTTCTGCTGGAACTATTTGCCAACTGTTGCTAAGCCACTCTAAATCTCTGTCATGCATTTGCTCATCTTGATCAGGAAAAATTGCAGCAAGCATGTATTTCATTTAAATCATTACAACATCCCCTGGAAGTATGTTGTTGGTAAAACAGCTTAGGATGAAAGTTAATTTTTTTTTTTTTTTAAATTTATGTGAGATTTATGCTAGGATGCTGTGAAAAATCTTGGTTTCATAATGCAGCCTGTTCTCTGTATGCCTCATTTCCTTGTTGGTTACTTTAAAGATATTCTACTTGCCATAGTTTTGTTAGTTTTGATTTTTTGTACTCAGTAACCTGTAAACGTAATTGCAGGAGGGCTCTGCATCCCCTGAACCCTATACTGATTCTGAAGAAACTGGTAGTGAGAGCGAGGAAATTACTGATGATGATGATGACGGCGATGACAGTTTTGAAGATGATGATGCAGTAGATGGTTCTGAAGTGGACATAGATGATAAATCTGCACATGCATTGAGTGAAACTAGTAGTGCGACTGGTGAAAGTGAAGATAATACGAAGGTTATTCCTCTCTAGCTTGAGCTTTTATGTCACAGTAGAACATGATTTTAGCCAGTCACAAATTTAGCAATTTAAGTCACTTCTGAAGTGCCAGCCTATTTCCAAATGATCAAAGAATTTGATGTTTTCTGTAGGTTATCAGAATTGGTAATGATGCTCTCTTCGAAGTTGTGTGCATGGTGGAACTTTTTTTTAATTCTCTTTTGCCCTGTTGCTTGTTGCTGTTTCAGTTTTTCTGTTTGTTTATTTTTGAATGGGTGTGAATATATGACAACACAAAAAGACATTATTTAACTCTTTGACAATATATGGAAAAACAAAAAACTCTGCATCAAATGCTTTTGATGAATTCCAGTTGGTTATATTATTCATGGCACTTCTTTCATCTATGTTGTGATGATTCTTTAACTTGTATGCACGTCTAGACTTCGGCTTATCAACTGCTCCTTATTTTTACTTTCGAAGATTCTTCTAGCTACTTTTCTCAGATTTGCTATTTTTACTTTGTCTATAGCACCCTTCGAATTTTTTACAAGCATTATAGGTTCTATTGGTCAAGGCTTTGTTGACTAAGCCTATGTTTGGCTCTTGTTTATTAACTGTTTAAAAACACTAGAGCCAATTTTTTATCCACACATTTTGAGGGACCAACAAGTATTACCTACTTATCCATCACCCATTTCCGTTTATAAACACTTCCCGAACACACGTTTTAGTGTGCGTGACACCACTTCAATCTGCAGCAATTACAGATACATTAGCAGATGTTGGTGTGGGGACCATTCGGCTCCTCTCCTCTAGAATCCATACGTCCACTATGAGTGTGTGGACAACTATCTTTCGAGCACAAGTTTAGGCTTCAATGGAAAAATAAAATGGAGCACCTAACAATGCATCTTTACATTCCAAGAACTACGAGATCATATGTGCTGTTACTTACTTCAAAGGCAAGGTCTCTGGTTCAAATCCGCCATGGAAAAGAAGAGAAGAAGGTAGTCAAGAAGGATTTGACAACTTCATGCATGCTCCACTTGGCTTGGGGGGATATAGCTCAGTAGAGCGATATCTTTTTCTTCCTTATTCTTATTTTGGGCGTGACTTGCTTAAATATCTCTTTTTTGTAGGCACAGTTCTTGTTGAGTGCACGTCTCTTGTTCTTTATCTTAGCTCTTGTTATTATGCTTTGTCTGTTTGTCTACGAGTTTCTTTTTCAAATTGGGTAACAGATTAAAGATGCAGGTCTCTGGAGGTCATGCGTCAGATTCCAGGTCTCCTGAAGTGGATGATGCTCTCATAGACAATATAATATTGCCATCAAATCCTATTCAAATTTACTTACCTCAACATGATAGCATGGAAGGGAGTGACAATGTTCCAAATCAAAGTGACGATGATTCAAAGATACAAGCAAATGATGAATTATTAGGAATTGATCCTGCTGAAACATCCGTATCTCTGAGGTCCATCAAGTCATCAAATGGATCCATCCGGAATGCTCTACGGCCCACTGTTTGGGGACGTACTCCCGTGAGTGTATATATATATATTTTTTATTATTTTATTTGTTTTGGTTCACTAATGGCCATAAGCATGGAATCTTTCCTTTTTTTTTTACTCAC